CTATTGAAATCTCAAATTAAGCCCATCAATAAGTAAAGGAGAACAAAACTATCAGGTGTATAATCTTTGTGTTTGCTTTTAATGTGGTTGAAATAAAATTAAGCGACAGGGACATTGCACAATAAAAATTATTTATTATCACAAAGAAAATGTATTTATTGTTATGAAAAGAAATATATATGATACAAGGTTTAACTTACCAGAAAATTTTTAATTAAGATTCAAAACTATATATTACACAGAGGGGATTCAGAATAGTATTTGCCTCGGCGACAGTAACGTACATTTCAAATAGGCTACTATATTTGAATTTGGAACTCCTTAAATACCCTTTCAGATCGATAATTATTTGAATTCTTATTCATTGTTATATGACTATTTATAATGTTGATTTAGAAATTTCATCAGTGGTATTTCTTTTAAATGAAAATGAGGCGACATTATTTGAGCCCTTATATTGAGAATGGGTGATAAGAGGAATTGCGGATAAGATATGAGTACCCCAAAGGGTAACAGATGGACGAACGGACAGCTAGACGTACGTACGGACAGACATACCGATTACAATATACCCTCCCACTTTTCAAGCGGGGGTATAATAAATGTTAAAATGTTCATATTGCTATCGACATGACTTTTTCTCATGTATCCACATCAAAACCGAGACATATTGTTTATTCTTGTTCCTTGGTTTCAATACTACAATCCATCAAAATATTTATCACCCCCCCCCCCCCCCTTTAGAAAAGATTATGCTTCAAATATGTGTCATTAAAGTTTTGCACATGAGAACTTGCAAACATGCTTCCGCCTATCAGTACTCTCAGTACTTTGATTAATATATCAACTTAGTACTTCTTTGTAAGATTAGAATGTTTAAACAAAATACCTATGCTAAAGTAAGTAAATTTAAGATTGAATTCTCCTCGTACTACTTGTGTTAAAAAAATAAATGAAATTCTCACAGAATCATGAAGACAATATCAGGAAGTTGTGGTATCGTTTTATATTAGAGGCAAAGTCAGGTCAATCAAAGCCATTATCTTTTTATCTGGACATTAAAAATAAAAATTTACTATTGCCAATCATGCTATGCCTACTTCTATTTCAAAAGATTATATGTTTTTCTTTTTGCATTAGTCGCCCACGTGACACAGTGGTTAGAGCCTCTGCTCTAGAGTGGCGAAGTAAGGAGTCAATCCTTACGTCGCGGGTTCGAATCCTACCTTGGGACGTGGAGACCGCTCCTTCGGATGAGACCGTATAAACCGAGAGTCCCGTGTCGTTGTCACTCACTCCAAATGAGTGAACAATTGTAGAGAGGGACGCCAAACAACATACAATCAATCAAACTTTTTGCATTAAAAGCTGTTACCATATAGGGTTTATAACATGATATTACCAAATTTACATAAATTATTTAACTCTTCACAACTTACTGATCTGTGACGCAACATGCACTTAATGTCCACCTCAAAGAACTATGATGTTACCATTTCCCCGCAAGCACTTTATAGTTTGGTACAAGTTTCTCTAAAGTTTAGCGTAACTAATATTATGACGTAATATTTTAACTAGAAAATAATTTTTCTGTTGAATTAGATTTCAGCAAGTATAAAATAGAAGGAATTTGGCAATTAAAGATTAAATGAACTTTTTAAAGTGCGTGAAAATGCGTGATTGCGGGGAAACGGTATATGCATGATTTTGCGATAGAAATAGGAAATGGTATATGTGTTTAAATGCGTGACTGCGGGGAAGGGGGTTATAGTCTTGATATTTGCTAATCGGAATTTTTTCTCCCTTTTTTAAGATTTTTTTTTAGGATACAAAGTATACATGAATGACATGTCCATGTATTACTTAATTTTATATGCTTCCTATATTTACCTTTTTCTTATTTTCGCATATAATAAAGTAGTTATAAAGAAGAAGGATATGGAGGTAACGAACAGTATTCAATCCCAAAGTCCAAAGAATAATACAAAACAAGAGCAGAGAAAACACGGACCCCCGAAACATCAGAGGTGGGATAAGGTGCCATGGAGGAGTGAAATTCCCCTGCTGACCGGTAACACCCGCCGTTTGCTCCCTGTCATGATCGCAAAATAACGGAAAAATCCGTCGTCAATTCAGTGTATAAATAATGGACTAACAATTAGTATGAAAAACGTCAGTCAGCATTTGTCTCAATGATAAATTGTATTTGCTGACAAGATCATTGTATCGACCATAGAATTTACGAAATTATGACTTTAAACGAGACAGTTGATATTCTTGTTTCATCAACTTGCTTGTCAATAATTTACCTTGTTTAAGAAATTGTTCATACGTAGAGAATGATCTTGCGTATCGAATCAACTGAGATATATACACTCCGTATGCAGGTGATGAAGGTATATTGCTGCATAACTAAGGGAAGCTGACGATGGCAAAGTTAAAGTCATTACGTTTATCATAAAGCTTGATTGTTAGATTACCATTAACGTCTTTTTCAAGTAAAATATCCAAGTATGAAACAGATGTGTCCAACTCTGTGTTATCATTTATCTAAAGCTCACCAGGATATATCGTATCGACGTAAGGATGGAATTGGTCATTTATATTGACAAAACGTCGTCGATACATCTAAATGTGGAGTTCTTTTCACGCATATGATTTTGAACAAATTCTGCTTCATATGTATTTAAAAATAGGTCTGCTAGTAACGGTACCCATGTGAATTCCAATAGAATGTTGGAATACCTGGTCTCCAAAAACCAGATATTGTCAATCAGAAACTCAAGCATCTCTTTGATGTCAACTTCAGTGTACGTGTGTGTGCAATCAGAATGTGTTTTAACAAAATAATTCTGCAAATGACCAATGACAGATAAGTAAAAATTTTCGAGTTCCATTTTTTATTGAAAAGCAGCTGTTAATGATATCAAAAAGCCTGGGCTTTAATTTATCGTGGGGAATGGTTGTGTATAAAGTTGAAAAGTCGTAGGTTTTGAAGCTGTTGATTTTTGTAAATTCTTGTGATTTCAAATTGTCCAAAAGTTCTTTAGAATTTTTGAGTATCCACATCTGATTCTTACTACTGCTTGAATATACTGTTGCACAGTACTCTTGAAATTTTTCCTTCACCACTGTCAATATCTTAGTGCAAAGTAACTAAAGAGGCTTTGTTGATCATTTACTTGAACCCGCAATGTATCTTTGTTTGTAAGGATTTCTATGAAGTTTCGGAATCCAATAATATTTAAGGTAGTTCAAATTCATTTTGGCTCTGTGGAATATTCAAAATATTTAAAACTGACATGTGATTTTAAAGAATTTTTTCCTTAGAAAGGGAAGTATGAGTATGAGTAGGATTAAATCCAAGTTGTTCTAAAATACTACTTTAAATAATGAGCCTTACAATCCAAAACAATGCTGTTACCTGCTTTGTCGGCAGGGATCAGTACGTATTGAAAAAATAATCTATCTAATTCTTTTTTCACTTCTGAATTATTGAACACAGAAGGATAGATGGTTTTCATATTGCCTCTCAATCTTTTTATACGCTATTTTAACATGGATCTGATACATTTAATCCATTTTGACAAGTTATAACGTCTTCTTTTTCATATCTGGCCCATTCTCTTGCGTGATTTTCAACAGAATCCATAATATATACGGAATTCCGACGCCAGTTGAAGGATCAGTGTTCCCTATATTTAGGACCTTTTTAAAATAAGTGATCTAAGGTCCTCATTATTAACTATATTTACGTCACATTTAATAACGTTTCCAGCAGGACTATAGTTATAGGGCGAAGAAGAACATGAACACGATATTTCTGATACTCGGTATCCTGGCCATGTAAAGTTTTTTTGTAATTGAAAAGTTTGGAAGCAATGGTCAACGTATATTTGTAAGAATACAAGATGTAGTCTTTAACTTGAAATATAGTGGAATACATGATTAAGAATATTATTTATATTAACCGCCTCAAGTCCTTTATTGGCGTATTGAATTTAAGGAAAAGACAGATTATTTTAGCCGCATTTTCTTCCGTAAAACGTGCGGGTTTAAAGAGCCTATGATTTGCAATGTACAATATCCATAATCACAGATCCGAGCCTACATTCTGGTGTCGAGGAATAAAAAATTGGACATTCCTTGGCCTTTTCAAGAAGACTATTTAAAAGTTTCAAAAGAACCGAGTAAAGTTTGGTTCGAATATGATGTATACCTAACTGTTGATTTTCATAAGGTAGGAGACATCATGTATTGCAGGTTTATTGTACGACCGATGCCCATGACAACGCTTACGTCTCTGTGTATGGTTAAAAAATCCCATCATATTTTCATTGATACACTGTGGACTGGAAAGATTTCCAACACTCGACATTGTCATTACATCCATAGGGAAAGGATGTCCCTAGTTTTCTAATCCAAAATTCTTCTCGTTGTCTACGGAAAGGTATACTCAGCGACGGACTATTTATGTGTTGATAAATCTTCTCGAGAATTCTAACTTTCATAGACCAAATAGAATTATCAGGTAAATTAAAATGTTTGTATAAAATCTGCTGCCCACTATGGCAAGCCCTTTTACTATTTATTCGTAAAATATTTTTTTCTTTCAATTTGAGAGATATCTCTCTAGCATAGAGAGATATCTCTTTAGCCTAGAGAGATATCTCTTTGACTAATAGAGATATCTCTTTAAACAAAAGAGATATCTCTTTTTAAAAGAGAGATATCTCTTTTTGTAAGAGAGATATCTTTATAAGCTAGAGAGATATCTCTTAAAGTTAGAGAGATATCTCTTTAACAAGTTTAAAAGAGATATCTCTCTTAGTTAGAGAGATATCTCTATAGATTTTCAAAAAGAGATATCTTTCTAAGCTAAAGAGATATCTCTTTTAATAAAAGAGATATCTCTTTTCAAATCACCCTTAAAATAACATAATTAATTCTCCCGTTGAAAACGAAAGCGAAACAGGAAGTAATGTTTGTTAAGTTGTTCGTTTTTGATTATTGAAAAGAAGAGGAGAAAATGGATTGATTGATACAGGTAAACAACGTTTAATCGCTGTATTGTTTTAGTAAATGACGTACATACAGTACATACAAGCTATTCCAAATGGGAGACGAGCATTTTAAAGCATAAAAGAAGTTGAAATAGTGTTTTGAATTTTCAAACTAAAACGTTCCCCAAAGATTGGTTCCATATATTGATTTCAGGCACATAGCATCGTTTTTGAAAGTGGGGGGAGGGGGGGGGGCAACCAGAGAGATTCGTTTTTTATACTTACCAGTAAAAGTTGACCAAACTCTATTATCCTATTTCGGGAGTGGAGGGGAAGGGGGGGGGGGGGTAGTGGCCAACTTTTTTCAAGACCAAATATTCCTTTCACTTCCACTTTTTATTGCATAAAATACTACATTTCCATGATATCACTATACTGTTATTCTGTACTGTGGTAAGAAGTGGGGGGGGGGGGCAAAAAACTATTAAATGCACATTCTCCATAGTAGAGGTATTGCTGGGAAAAAGGGGGCAAGTAGTTGATGCTGGGACTCATTTTAAATCAGGTACAGGATAAATTTTTGGGCTGCACTTTTCTTTACTTCAATATTTCAAACTTACTAATTCAGTATCAAGTTCACAAAAGCTCATATGCCATAGTGTTAAAATCAATGGACCATAATGCTAGTTCAATTTGTCATATTGCTTTCTTATTGAATTATCAATTTGAAATTTGATTGGTAAAAAACATTTGTTAATGAGTACAATTGCTAACTGTGCAGAATGTAACTTGTTTGCACATTTGTTTCAACGAACGACATTTTCTTAACAAGACAAGTATTGGATGCTTATTTTAATACACTATCAATAAACATCAAGAACAGATTTAAGGAAGTTTAATTTTTGTATATTTGGTAGTTACATGTGTAGTTAGTTGTATATATATATATAGGATGTACACAAGCATTTTATAACATTGTTAACATTCAAGAAAGCATTCACTTAATTTCTTGTAGATGCTCACTTCTAAGATGTTTCCAGGTTCTTGTTAAAAGTGTTTTATATGGCACCATTCAGCTACAATTACTTTGCTGGTGGAACTGTGACATCAATCAACTGCTCATGCCACTGCTAATTGGCAGAGAATTTCCTTTGGGACAAGCAAACTGTTTCAAACATTTTACACCTGCAAGTTAGTACTTATGCAATTTTGTTTGAAAGAAGCTATAGGCTAATGATTACTGAAAATACAAGCCAGATGAAGTACAAAAGTGTTAATACAAGTCACTTGAATTTTTATTTCTTTGCAGGTAGAGTGTACTGGAAGGTTTTTCAGGATCTCTTCAAACATCATAGGTACAACAGGTCACTGTGCTTGCTTGATTATATAAGCTGGCATATTGTTAAGGTGGTGACATATGTAGCTCCTACTGATGCTTGACTGTTTTTCTTCAAATTATAAGTAAACCTGGATTGATCTCTGATGCAGTAATATAGAGCCATATCCATTTTTTAAATTTTATCTTCCCACTGTCACAAAGTACTGAAATAAAAATGATTTGATTTTAAATATATTTTTTGGTTTTTATATGTAACATAAAATTCTACAGAAATTCAAATATTAAAACTACTTCAAAACAAGACTTGTTTGTGAAACTCTTTGCACCCAGCGACAACAAATTCGAAAAAGTTATTTTCAGCATATAGGTCACAGTCAAGGTCAAAAGGTCATTGAAATTGCTGTCATTTGAAAGAGCTAAATTTGTGGAGCATGCATATCAAATATGAAGTCTTTATCTTTAATGGTTCAAAATGTATGGCGAAAGTTCAAAATGGTATTTATAGCAAGAAAGTCACAGTAAAGGTCACAAGGTCATTGACCTTGGTGTCATTTGAAAGAGCTTAATTAGTAGAGAAGGCATCCAAAATATGATGTCTCTATCTTTAATGATTCAAAAGTTATAGCGAAAGTTCAAATAAGCTATTTTAGCATACAGGTCACAGTCAAGGTCACAAGTTATTGACCTTGGTGTCTTTTGAAAGAAGTTAATTAGTGAAGTATGCATACTAAATATGAAGTCTCTCTCATGGTTCAAAAGTTATGGCAGAGCTTAACGTTGCCAGCAGAAAGGACAAAAGCAATATACACCTCGGATTCGGGCACATAAAAAGAAAAGTGGGAAACATTACTAGATGAGTCAATCTCAGAAAAAGAATGGAAATTCTTTTTCGTAAATGCATCATTATTCACAAAAAAGACAACTAGGAATATGTCCATAGGACATGAATGCCCACCAAGGGTATATCAGTAATGCAACATGAAAATGTGAATTTGTGTAACCGTTTGTAACCGTTTGAAATTTCAGAATATCTTGAAAAGTGATGCAGTTGAATTGGTTACATCAGTATGCATCAGCATAATCAGTTTTAACACTAATTGAAGAAAAGCGAGGTCTAGGTCAAAGGAAGGACCAATGTCAAAAATGTTAATACAGTTGAAAAGCTCTCATCATTATGTATCAGCATATGAAATTTGAAAAATAATATAATGAATGGTTTCTAACTCAATCACAATTTGTTAAATGTGAGACCAAGGTCAAATGAAAGGTCAAGGTCAAAATATTGATGCAAATGAATAGCTCTCATCAGTATGTATTAGCATATAAAGTCTGACACTAATTTAGGAAGAGTGAGGTCAAAGGAAAGGTCAAAAATACTGATTAATTTACATCTACATATTTTGGTACATCTGTTTTGTTTTTGGATAAATCATATGTTAACTGTCATATGTTTACATATACGTACATTTATTATGCCACCCTTCGAAGAAGGGGGGGCATATTGCTTTGGTGCTGTCTGTCGGTCCATTTAGTTTCCGTTTATTTTCTTCACAATCATTGCACATACTGAAATGAAATTTAGTATACAGGTATATCAGAGGTCAAGTTCTGTTTTGGGTACGATCAAGCTTTTTGACAAAGTTATGCCCCTTGGACTTAAAATTCCAATTATTTGCAGTTTCCATTCATTTTCTAAGGAGAGGTTGCACATACTGTAATGAAATTTAGTACAGTGGACCCTCATTTATCCGGACACTTGGTTCTCAGTCAATTTGTCCGGATATGTGAAGCATCCGGATATCTGAATCCCATTTCAACAAGACAAAATAACATTTAAAAATTTCGTTCCGATGATAAATTGTCCGGATACTGAAGCATCCGGATATCTGGCGTCCGGATATCTGAAGGTCCACTGTAAACAGATTTGTCAGATAAATATCTAGGACAAGTTCTGTTTTGGGTGCGATCAGGCCATTTTTGACAGAGTTATGCCATAGAAAAATTCCAGTGTTGGGGGAGGGGGGCATAAGTGTTTTACAAACATCTAACATCTCTTGTCATTTTTAAGTTTACAAAGTGCACAGTGTGAGTGTGTGTAATTGTGGTGGTAAGTAGGTGAAAATTGTTTGGTATGCGTTTGTATATATGGATGTAGGAAAAGCTTCAAAATAAAGCATTTAAAAAAAAAGTTTTGGAAAGTATGGCAATCATATACCAGTACTCAGAAATGCTAAATAAAAGGCTTCCTAAGAGAAAAACAAGATGTGTTTGTGAAACACTATGCGCCCGGCGGTAACAAAGTTCAAAAAATCTATTTTTAGCATATTGATCACAGTCAAGGTCACAAGGTCATTGATCATAGTGTCATTCGAAAGAACTTAATCAGTGGAGTATGCATACTAAATATGAAGTCCCTATCTCCTATGGTTCAAAAGTTATGGCAAAAAGGGTAAAGAGCTATTTTTAGCATATAGGTCACAGTCAAGGTCACAAGATCATTGACCTTGCCGTCGTTTGAAAGGACTTTATCGATGGATTATGCATACCAAATATGAAGTCCCTATCTCCTATGGTTCAAAAGTTATGACAAACAGTGGAAAAAGCTATTTTTAGCATATAGGTCACAGTCAAGGTCACAAGGTCATTGACCATGGTGTCATTTGAAAGAACTTAATCGGTGGAGTATGCATACCAAATATGAAGTCCCTATCTCCTATGGTTCAAAAGTTATGGCAAAAAGTGTAAAAAGCTATATTTAGCATATAGGTCACAGTCAAGGTCACAAGATCATTGACCTTGATGTCATTTGAAAGTACTCTATTAGTGGAGTATGCATACCAAATATGAAGTCCCTATCTCCTATGGTTCAAAAGTTATGACAAACAGTGGAAAAAGCTATTTTTAGCATATAGGTCACAGTCAAGGTCACAAGGTCATTGACCTTGATGTCATTTGAAAGGACTTTATTAGTGGAGTATGCATACCAAATATGAAAACTCTATCTTTTATTGTTCAAAAGTTATGGCCAAGGTTAAAGTTGACAACAGACAAACAGATAAACAGACAAACAGACAGGACAAAAACAATATACGCCCGGGATCTATCGATCCGGGCGCATAAAAAATTAAAAACTACCAATAAAATAAGTATTAAATGTAAATCTTTTAAGATGAAGGGTTTGCTTTGTCAGATTCTTTGCTTATAAGGACACTTACCTTTAATAATGTCATGACAGGTGAGGAACATGGCTGGTCTTCATGCTGGATCACTTCTTAATCAAAACCATCCAGTATATTGTCTTAAGATTGCATGATGTGCAGACACCTGTAATTTAGGAAGCTTCTGTAACATATGTGACATGTCTTTTGAATTATTGCATACTTGTATGTGCAACTGATAATACAGTAAAACTCGGTTTTAACGAAGTCACTGGGACCTATGAAATTACTTTGCTATATCCATAATTCGTTATATCCATATAGGATTTTTTAAAAATTTAGATAACTGGGGATCCAAGATAACTTACCTATATCCGTGAATTCCCAATATCCGTGTTCGTACAAACCAAGTTTTACTGTAATTTAGGACTAAGGTGCCTGACAAATAATGAGTTATAAATCTTGCAAATATCCATTCATTTGATACAAATCTTAACTTTCTTCATTAAATTTTATCAATGATTTTACAAGAAAATCAGAATAAAAAAATTGTCGTTTACAAACACAGAAAAAAATTTTCATTTAAATTTTTTATTTAACAAGAGATGTTTGTAAAACACTTATGCCCCCCCCCCAAATAATTGTAATCCAAGGGAGTCCAAGGGAAATGTCGTGCATAACTCTGTCAATTATGATCCGATTGTACCCAAAACAGAACTTGACTTCGATATTCATCTGACTAATCTGTGTACTAAATTCCATTTCAATATGTGCAACCTCTATAAAGAAAATGAAAAGAAGCAAGCAAATAATTGGGAATTTTTCTAAGTCCAAGGGGCATAACTCTGTCAAAAATGGTACGATCATACCCAAAACAAAACTTGACCTAGATATTCATCTGATATACCTGTATACAAAAACAAAACTTGACCTAGATATTCATCTGATATACCTGTATACAAAATTTCATTTCAGTATGTGCAATGTACAAACCGACAGACAGCAGCAAAGCAATATGCCCTCCCTTTTTTGAAGGGGGCATAAAAATATTTGTTGCATTTTCATATCTAGGGTGCCCCTCCGAGGCCAACAATAAAAAAACAGATTTGTTTGATGTACTCTGACCGACCTGTTAAAATGGCCCCTACCCCTTAGCAATTATTTTTTGGGCACTTCAAAATTTTTGATTTTTTCCCCTTAATTTCCATAGATGTTTTAAAGATAAGGTATCATTTTTTTAGGATGCTTTTCAATTTATAAATATAAAGTCTTTCTAGCTAGTAATGAAAACATCAACCGATTTCTGAGTATGGGCATGGTTTTAAATATGACAGTTATCAATTTGTTCAATACTGTAAGGCAAAAGAAAAAAAAACCCACCGATACCTACCTACCAATCTTGATAAAAGTGGGTAGGAGTACATCAAACAAACATTTTTAAAGATGGCCATGCAATGTTGACTAGTATATTAGTCATCTTGTAAAAAAAAAAATTCCATACATGTATATATAATTATTAGACATTTAATCTGTAAATGAGGGTATTTTACCCCATTTTAACAGTGAGGTGAGATGACAGTAAAGTTGAATAACGGGGTCTATGTCTAAAACCTTAAGGTGGGGTGGGAGTAAAGCATCCCTGGACATCGCAGACTTTTTTGTCATTTTTTGATATGCTATGTCTTACAAAAAATAAATTTTATATTTGTCCTAGAACTTGTTTTGTTGTTATCAATTTTATACCTGTATTTGATTTGCATTGTGTTGGATGCTGATAATTCAAAGTTAGTATAGCCTTAGGTGCTGTTGACTTTGGATCTCTTAGCAACTGCATCTTTTATCTGTGTTACTGGTTCTCTTGTACCTCTGCTATAAAATAAGTTTTAATGTATACAATTGTGTAATATCAATGACTAAATTAAACAGACAGATTTGTTTAACATCCCTCTCAAGAATTTTTCACTCATATGGAAACACCAGTGGAGAGCTGCAAATTTTGTCCTATGCTGGGCACTCAGGGCCATTGAGCAGGGAGGGATCTTTTTTGTGCCAATACCTACTGTGAGATTGGGCCACGGTTTATACTGTATCATCCCAAGGACAAGTCTCCACATCCCACAGTAGGATTCAAACCCACGACGTAAGGATCAACTCCTTACTTTGCGACTCTAGAGCAGATGCTCTAACCACTGCGCCATGCGGGTGAATTTGAACAGAGAGAAAATTTAACCAAAATCCCTAAACCATGTTCTATAAATAGGGAACATACTCTCAGTCTCTAAAGTGAGAAATATGGTCATGTTAATGTAGTGATCTGAAGTTTGTTCAATGCAGCTTCTGTAATAAATTTTTGACCTGAAGTACTGTATACAGGGTTATTTTCGTCCTTTCACACTTGCAAACAATTTTGCCCCGTTTTAAATTCACCCAATCATAGTTTTATTAAAGAAATTATACTGTATTATTTCATTTCGCCCCGTTTTAAATTCGCCCAAATGAGGGAAGGGTGAAAGGGGCGAAAATAAAACTGGGGCAAAAATTTCCCTGTATACAGTATAATAATAACACAAGGTATCTAACTCCGAATTACACAGAGTACCCCCTCCCTTAAAATCCACTCAGCAAGCAGAGTTTTGTACGGAGATAAACAAAAAGAAAGACATGGATGCTATGTATGGTTGTGTAGATAATTTATCGTAGAAGACAATAGTATTAAAGAGTTTGACAGCTAGTGCATTTCGTCTGAAAGTGTATATAAATGAATGTGTTTCTGAGGGAGGGGGCACAAAGTGTAATTTGGAGTAAGATACCTTGTGTTATTACATGTATACTGTGGGTTAAAAATTTAGTACTGAAACAAGTCCTTTTGGGCAAAAAATATGAACAGAACATCTTGTGAAATACTCAAATAGATCTTAATTGCTACAAACATTTAACACACAAAAAGTTAATCCACAGACTTACGAAAGGTAAAACTTTACTGAAAAATACGTATATTAAAAAAATATTTACCCAAACAAAAGTGATGCAGCCACAATATGACGTTAGTACCCATCGAACACTGACAAAACTCCTCCTCTACAATCAGCTGATAAAAACATTATCGTCCCCGGATTCAAGAAAATTCTGTTAACAAATTCAGGCAAAAGATGATTACAAAACTATTTCATTCGGTTGAGAATAAAACACTTCATTTTACCTCAAAATAAACAAGAAACGGATGACACTGACTCTGATTTATTTACCTGTACTTCGATCGAAATTTTCCTGGTGGACGCTCGCACCCAAGTTTTTATGACATCGTAAGTCTATAAACCATTCCGCTTTGTTAAAGTATTTAACTTTCCCCCGAAAGCTTTGCATAAATCAGAAACATGCTGAACCCAATACACGTTCTCCATGTGAGGTACCCCGGAAGTGAGGTACCCCGCGAGTCACGTGACGAGCACTTTCAGACCCTGGACCGAATTTTCTCAGCTTTTAAAATACTTCCGGTAAAGGGAGAAGTAATTTCAAATGGAATTTAAATAAAAATAATAAGGAGAGATATCTCTTTGCAATAAAGAGATATCTATTTTTGCTTGAGAGATATCTCTTGTAGACACTTTTGAGAGATATCTCTTTTACTTTGAGAGATATCTCTTAAGATAAACTTAGAGAGATATCTCTTTTACTTTAAGAGATATCTCTCAAAGTGAAAGAGATATCTCTCTAGGTGAAAGAGATATCTCTTTTCACGAAAGAGATATCTATCAATGAGAAAGAGATATCTCTTAAAGTAAAAGAGATATCTCTCTAAGTATAAGAGATATCTCTCTAACTTTAAGAGATATCTCTTTCTTATAGAGATATCTCTTAGAAATAAGAGATATCTCTTTAAGTTGGGAGATATCTCTATTTTTTAAGAGATATCTTTCTAAAATGAGAGATATCTCTGTAATTTCAAGATAAAATTTATTTTCCGAATAAATAGTAAAAGGGCTTGCCATAGCCCACAATGATTTATTTAAAATCGATGACCTGATATTCTTTTATTAAGGGATCCCTTGATTTCACCAACATAAACAAGTCCACACAGATTAGACGATTTGCAGCTCAGATTTTCACGAGTTTTGGTATAGAAGCTCTGTCCAGTAAGATTACTGGTGAAAAAAAGTGTTAGTTTTCAAAATGTCACAGGTTTTACAGTTTTGCACAGAACATTTTCAAACAGAAGACATGGGATCGGAAAAGGAATCATCAAATATATCTGTAATAGAAACCTTATATTCTTTCAATTTTTGGTATGATGTACATGTGTATTAGTTTTATACCAAAACTGGGAATCTGAAGACTGTACATATGACATATGTTTAATATCCCTGAGGATAATCCGAGGGGCACCGAATGAACTCCTTGAGTCTGTGTCCCTTGTAGACTCAAAGGAGTGACACCTTAATTTTATAAGTGGGCGACGCGCCTGCTAGTATCATTTCGTTATTCTGTGTACTCATGAATGAATGAGTATCCTCCTGGACAATAATCAAAAGAACTGCGAACGGTAGTATTGTTCTCCCGCCTACCTCCAAGTCAATTTTCAAAAGTTAACATATTCGATTTCCTCTTAATATTTTTTTAAGATAATTATATGGATTTTCATAAAACTTTTATTTATTTGGAAAAACGAAGAGAGTAAAACGTGTGTTTTTAACTATAGAAATCAACGGAAAACGGAAACTATATTCAAAACATATTCCCATCCCCCGTGACACAAAAAATCCTTTTTACAGGTAATATAGACTGTTATTTCACAAATTCATACTAAAACTTTACGTATGTCACGGGAGAGCATTTTATTGACAAAAAAAGACAAAACTCCTTTTTTCCACCAATTTCAGAGCAATTTAAAAAAACAACTGAAACATTATATTTTATTAATATATTAGTTTTATTTATTTGACTAAAACATAAGAAAAGATATAAGGAACATTTAATCGTATCCAAGACTATTTAAAATATGGTGATGCATAAAGTCCGATTTCAATGGAAAATATCGTCTACCCCCCCCCCCCCCCCCCTCTTTTTTTTCAAAAGCTGGAGTTATTGATAATTTACTATTTAGCATTGGTACTAAGATAATCCATCAATTTCCATTGAACTGTTCATTGTATTAACCAAAGATTTAATGGCCAAATTGCAATTTCTATTGAATTAAAAGGTTGCGAAATGTAGGCTGGAATCGAGAGTTAGCGTGCGTATTCTTTTGTAAATTCCTTTGGTGGAGCATCTTCATGTGATTACATCTTCAAAATTACATCTTCGTTATCAAAGCCATTTTAAAAAGTATATTTGATTTGCAATTCTGACTGAAGATTAATTGTTCTCAGTTTATGGTCTTTGGTCCTATTTCTATTTAAGGAGCAGTTGGTTAAGATGTATAAATCTGTCCTCCTTTATAATTAAGTTGTATAATGTTTAGAAAGGTTCTACGTTTTGATGTTATTGCTTTTAAAAGTTTCCTGCATGTTTGGGGATTCTACATTTGACTTATGCTAAAATTACTACTTCCACTTATACCGTAATATTTCCATTTCAAATATTTTTCTCTGTGATAACTCTTTGAAAGTAAGCGGGGTTGATTTCTTGATAATTCTGCCGGAATGTAAACTTGTTAGGTCGATAGGTCAGGAGCTAATGAGGCCTAACATGCATGCAAATCTTGTGCGCATCTGCCTCTGTGTCTGACGCTAAGGAGGCCAAATATGCATGTAAATCGATTGACGTCAGTGGGCGAGGGCTTTTGAAATTGGCATGGGAGTCCGTGTAATTTAAATCTCTGTCTACATTTTTAAGTCTAAATCTACAATTTTATTTCACAATGAAATGGAAATATAAAGAATCACTGTCTAGTTTGTATAGTATGCCAGGGACATTAACGATAGTGGTAAACATGGCATAATTTATGCATAACGGGCAAAGCAAATTATCCTATGTTTCCCAATATTGTTGATGCCCTGGCATACTATACTAACTAGACAGTTATTCCTTAAAATGGCCAAATGACTGCATGCAATCTGCTTCTGCACTAATCGTTCCTTTACTTTCTAATAGGTATGCAGTCTAAAAGCTAACAGATACTTGTAAAACCCTCACATATGTATTGATAATTATTCATTTATATGGTAAACTACAACTGTAACTTCTTTTAAGCACGAAACCTACGAGAAACGTACAGTAGCCTTCAACCAATTTCAAGCTCTGTAGTAACTATGTCTATAGGTTGAAAGTTACTCAGATTATCTCACATAGAATTAAGCTATACAATCCCGACCACAGTGCTGACTTTTGCAGTCGATGGCTGACTTTTACAGTCGATGGCTGACTTTTACAGTCGATGGCTTACTTCTACAGTCGATCCCTTACTTTTACAGTCGATAGCTTACTTTTACAGTCGATGGCTTACTTTTACAGTCGATGGCTTACTTTTACAGTCGATCGCTGACATTTACAGTCGATGGCTGACTTTTACAGTCGATGGCTGATGGCTAACTTTTACAGTCGATGGCTTACTTTTACACTTCCAATTTTAAAGCTCTTTTTCAATAAAAATATTTAGCTCAACATTTAACTGAACAAAAATAATGTGCTAATATAAAGCAAATATAAGAATCAACAACTATCCTATTCAACTCGCGACTTTCACAGGTTAGTGCCCCTAGCCACTAGAGTTTTTTTTTTTTTTTATCTATTATCAATTCTGCACCTCCATACAGGTTCAAATTTCAAAGTAATCTGACAACTGTAAAAGTCAGTGCTTCTCTCAAAAGTCCATTACAAGGAATCTATGTCTTAAATCTGTTCCCTAAGAATAATAATAAATTTTGGGTTTTTTTTCCATCACTTTATTCTTTGACTACTGTCATGTATAATAAAATATTTCCCTTTCACACACATCACTTTCTCCCTCAATAAAGCTTTCCTATACAATCATGTCTGACAAAGATGGCCACACTGGATGATTTACATGTGTATAATGAACTGGATGTAACATGAGGCTTGCAATGCTGATTAATACAATTGTTGATGAGAAATGACAAACTAAAGTAAAATGCCAGATAGAAAATGTAGCCATGAACGTATGCAAGTCTTGCAGAATCTACGAAAATTACTACAGTTAAACATGCTTAATCATGCCAGGGATAAACAATTTTGCTTTGTAAAGTAATTTTATATCTGATTGTTTCACAATACATCTAAAATCCTTGGGGAATAAAAATCATTTCCCTATACTTCATAATCAAGGTTCTCGCTATAAGCAGGTTTTAATGTATAACTAAACATTTTTAAAACAATGCTGATTCCAGAGTCACTTGATCATTTTTTATGCATTGACAATTTTATGAATGATTTCAGGTTTTCTTGCCATAAATGAATGAATCCAATTTTAAACTCCAGAAAACAACCATAAGGTCAATATTGACAAGTTACAACTACTACTGCACTTAATTATACATTTTTTTCTGAAAATAATTTTGACTTGTATTAAAAACGAGAATCAGAATAAAAAATATTTTTCTTTGTTATAGAGTCTAATTTTGAAGTTGATAAATGTTCGAAAACAATGTTTTAAATTGCTCGAATGGAAAATTAATGGTGTGAATGAACACTCACTGTAAACATTTTAAATAAAGTCCACTCTGATCGTGAAAGACTGAAATATGAAGGGACCTCTTCCTTATTGATCATAGTACACAATAAGAGACTTGTACAGAACATATGTACTACTAGCATGTTTACAGAAACCCTGAATTTTATAGCACTTAGAATCTTATAGCAAGGATTCTTTTTCAAACAAGAATATACTGACAATTCATTGCAAATTATCACCAAAAAGCATAATATCACTAATATGAATGGCATATGAAAATAGCACACATCAGATATTAATTAGGGTTAGTTGTAATCTGATCTCTCTGGTGAGGTATGAAGACAGAAATTATATCCCCAACTTGTACATGTTTAAAGAAAATAAGTTACAAATGTACATCATCGTACAAATTAAATGAAATATCCATTTTGATTGCTTCTAAGAAATTTATTTGCTATTTTCCAATTTCAAGTTTGGAATTCTTTTTTATAGGACATTAATTTCTAGTAATTTAGGAAAATTCTTAATGTAAAAGAGTGTGCAGAATAATTTTTTATTTAGGTTTTTTTTTTTTTTAATCACAACCTTTCATTGCAGTAAGAGTGATCTGTATTTGAATATTTTACTGGGAAAAAAGCCTGGTAGGTACATTTACCTTACTTTGAAAATGAACCCATGTGCACCTGACATTAATTATTTTAATAAAAAATACGTACCCCTACCTAATAGGCTAATACACATTTTCTAGTAGGTGTTATATCTTTTCTTTTTAAGAAAAATAAGTAATGTCAGGTAGGATATTTACTCCTTCATATGAAAATATGTTCTTCACGTCCAAAAAGTATTTCCCAATGGTGTTGCTCAGCCTCCCGAATACATTGATGTACAGTTTTTTTGAGTTCTGAGCAAGGAAATAGACACAAGTTGCTACATTTTGTCATTAAATATAATTTCCATTTTCATGATTACTCCATGACCAACATCATAAAAGAGGTGATTTCGGTGTAACCTAAAGCTACCTTAGAATTGGGTGAATGAAAAGTGTTTAATGAACGATAATTTCTTTTTAAGTTGGAATTTTGAGATCACTTATAACTGTATTCACAGCAAATGCACCAACATATATCAAAAATTAAAAAAAAAAATGTTTAAAATAGCTTAAATCTGGCTTATATAATGATGGCATCATCCTGTTTATAATTAGAAAATAGAAATAATTCAAAAGTGGGAACATTGATTTCTCATTTGAATGATAAAAAAAATCTCTTTTAAGTGTGCATAAATCACAGATACTTGTACCCTTTACTACAATGACCATGGGATCTGTGTGGATTCTAGAATGAATTTTCTCCAAACAAAGCAAAATAAACTACTATGCAACACTGATGATGTAAACACATATTTTACAAATGGCTTCAGATGATGAGGACTGTCTTCGTTTGACGTCAGCGGTGAATCATGTGGAGGGGTGACAAAATCCTGTAATAATGAACCATTTACAACCATTCAGTCCTCTTCCATGGGGGTTTCCCCTTCTGTTGATGTCTGCTCCTGTGTGGGGGTGGTGACTGGGTCGTCATTATCAGTACTGGGGGTCGTGGTATCCACATTTTCTGTCTCACTGTCACAGCTCATGCCTTCTTCCTGGGAACTAGACACACTTTCCTCAGCGGGCAACTCATTTGATTGCGTAGACGTTTCCTCAGAACTTTCAGGCTCCACACTGTCCTCTGAACTGTTTTGTGAACTCTCTGAGCTTTTTTCTGGAGATTGACTTTGGTCCTGTCCATTTTCTGATGTGTCTTTTATAGAAGTAGAGGCTGTCTGAGGTAACTGATTATCACTGTTGATGGACTCACCATGCTGAGACGACTCGGAGGAGTCCTTACTGTCATCTCTCTCAGGTGAACTTTTACCGAGATCTCTCTGCTCTTGAGATGACTCAGGTGAACCTTTATCGAGATCTGCCTGTTCCTGGTCTGAAATCAGTTTCTCCTCAGGTAAACTCTTAGAGGTCTCTTCCTCACTGTTCACCTCTGACCTTTGTGTGACCTTTGACTCTTCTGAGGTCACGACCTCTGATGACGGGACCTCTGACTGCTCTCTGGATTGGTCTGTATTAAGTGTGGTGTCTGTTTGTTTGTTAGTATCTTCCGATGTTGATGGTTCTACTGACGAGTCCTCACCTTCAATGAAAACACTTCATAATTCTCAACATGAAATTGGCAGAGCTCTCAAAATAACACAGATTTAATAGCTGAGAAATTTAGACTTGTTGCAATTAAAGTAAATCAACATTGATTAACATGTTGTTTAAAGATAATTTTCAGTATAAAAGATTATTTTGCAGTTTTATAATATATTACACAATGTCTCGCTTAATTAACCCACACTTCCAATACATAAAGCTATGCTGTATTTACCTGAGACTTTTGGCTTCTTGGCAGGTGAGGAATCTTCAGATTCACATGACACTTCATCTCTCTCACACACAGTTTTCTCTCGGTCAGACATGGCCTGGCCTGACCACGACTCGGGGACAGAGCCGTCTGACGGATTGTCAGTCTGGTCTGAGGTTAGATGCGGGGTACCAGAGAGGGGTGCAGAGTCAGAGGATGATGCCGTCTGATCGGGGGTACCAGAGAGGGGCCCAGTGTCAGAGGAGGAGGTCGTCTGATCAGGGGTACCAGAGAGGGGTCCAGTGTCAGAGGAGGAGGTCGTCTGATCAGGGGTACCAGAGAGGGGTCCAGTGTCAGAGGAGGAGGTCGTCTGATCAGGGGTACCAGAGAGGGGCCCAGTGTCAGAGGAGGAGGTCGTCTGATCGGGTCCCCCCTGACTGGGTCCCACCCCCGCCCAGCTGTCTGTTGTCCAGTTTGTCTGTTGCTGGGAGGGGAAGCTGGAATACTGTACGGGGGTGAGGTCGGTGGTGGTTGTGGGGGAATCTGCTTCGTTTCCGTTCACAGGGGACTCTTCTAGTCCATTCACGAGGTTAGCTCGGGACTCACACACTATCTTACTGCAAATCAATGGAAATTTTATAAATTCTTTCATAAAATGCCAAAATGTTACATGTAGAAAAATCTTCCGAATTTCAAGAAATATATGTCTTGAGAATGCATCCACTACATTTGTTTTTACCTCTTCATTCTTATTAAACATTTACAAAACTACAACTCACAATTTAAATCTTTAATGATCATTTGATCAGAATTATGACTAAGAATGTGAGGTACTTACTTTCCAAATGGATCAACTGTACTTATCACTAAAACATTCTGTAATGTAAACATCTTAAATATATCAATAAATTATCTAAACATTGTAAGTTTATTTATAAATTATGTAAACATCGTAAGTTTATTTATAAATTATGTAAACATCATAAATTATGTAAACATCGTAAGTTTATTTATAAATTATGTAAACATCGTAAGTTGATCTATAATTTTTTTTTAAGGATAAAATATAGGTAATCAGAGATTACAGAGCTCATCTCAAAGAACGTTTTTCTTTAAGTAAGGCAAAGTTCCACATTAAACTAATAATCTAAAAGTGTACATCTCAAAACCACTCATCTGGAAAATCTAGATGCAAGCCTGATAGTGTGCATCCTTTAATGTATCAATCATAAGCCTGATGGTGTGTATCCTTTCATGTATCAATCATAAGCCTGATATTGTGTATCCTTTGATGTATCAATCATGCAAGTTTGGCCAATATAGGCTTTATAGTTACTCAGAAATAAGATCTGCACAAAAACTTTAACCTGTTCACTCACCCAGAAAATGTAGGTCAGATCCAGCATCTGAAGCAAGTCTGGTACTGGTAGTGTGCATTCTTAAATGTTTCACCCATGTAAGTTTGGTCAACAAAGGGCTTATAGTTACTCAGAAATAAGAAAAACAAATGAAAAAGAACGCTTTAAATACCTTTTCAATACCACGAAGAAATTTATCTGTGCGTTTATAGTGCTTCTTGGGATCTGTCAGAAGTTCACATAATCGCTGTATGGTAAAGGGTGCCCTGAAAATATAGAAAAAATTCTATAAACCTTCAATTCCACTATAGAATGCCTTCTAAATAGTTCAGTTTTTTTAAATATTATTTTAAAAATGTCGAAGTCTCTTATGATTGTTTCGGTAAATCAAACAGTAATGGAATGGGCTATGGCTGTGAGTGAAATATCAAATTTATGGTTCCCCTCATCAAAAACATAGGTAATCAAAGATTACGAAGCTCACCTTGACAAATGTTATCAGTTTAAGTAATGCAAATCTCATATCATATTTTTTTTAACTGTTAGTATTTATTCTGACAACAATATTCATGCAAGTTCTGTTTAAATAGGTCCTAAACTTCATTGGGATTGATCTGTTCCAAAAACTTAAACCTGGTCACTCATTTGGAAAATGTAGGTCAGATCCAGCATCCGAAGCAAATTTCGATTATTCATCCTTAGATGCATCATCAATGCAAGTTTGATCTACGTAGGGCTTATAATTACTTACAGGGTTCTCCACATTTGAAAATTTAACCATGGAGGAAGTTGCGCGATGGCGAAATGTGGCCGAAAAACACAAATGCGTATTAGACTTCCTAATCTTCATTAATCAATGATTGGTTTTACAATTTTTAAATTTAACCACTGCAACACAAAACAATGGAATAACTAGCACTTTTTAAAGTTAAAAAAATAATAATTAAATTGAAAAGGATTTATCCTGTATCTTACTTCACAAATGTACTAAAATTTGCCCAAAACTGTAGTAACCTTCTGAAGTAACTCTAAAACTACTACTATACCAGAGATTAAAACGAAGCATGCTAGGACGGCAATTGAGAAGTAGGTCCTCTGCACATTTTATCAAAGAGATAATAAAGTTAAAGCTTAAAAAACAGGATCGTGGGGAATTGATTAACTATAGAGAAATATGAAAAATTTACATCTAGTATTTTTTTTTCTGACACAGCATGCATGACAATTGTCATGCTCGTAATTGTCATCTTTTATTAACCCGTTATTTATCTTATCATGTAGCGAACATGTCGAAGTTCCCCAAAATTATTTACATGTGCACAGGATAATAAACTCTCAAAATTTTTATCAGCTGATTGACACTCCTTTGATTGTCACACTTCACAGCAGAGTCGCCGATTAACGACGTGTTTGTTTAGGACAGCCCGCTTTCCTTCGAGGCATGCCAGGTACATGGAAATCGTAGTATAAACACAATTAACTACTCAAGTCATTAAAACAGTAGGTGTTAGGACTGAAATGCTATAAAATTTAATCATGGCGGCTTACGTTTTTAACCATGGCGCAGTTCGTTTAACCATGGCGCACATAAATTTAACCATGGCGGGCCTCCATGGTAAAACCCCTTGTGGAGAACCCTGACTTATGAATAACCTAGTCACTAATGTGGAAAATGTAGGTCAGATCCTGCATCGGAAGCAAGTCTGGTATTGTCCATCCCTAGATGCATCAGCCATGCAAGTTTGGTCTGGGTATTGCTTATAGTTACTTAGGAGTGGACCTTCTCCAAAAACATAAACAAAAACTTAAACCTGGTCACTCATCTGGAAAATGTAGGTCAGATCCTGCATCGGAAGCAAGTCTGGTATTGTCCATCCCTAGATGCATCAGCCATGCAAGTTTGGTCTGGGTATTGCTTATAGTTACTTAGGAGTGGACCTTCTCCAAAAACATAAACAAAAACTTAAACCTGGTCACTCATCTGGAAAATGTAGGTCAGATCCTGCATCGGAAGCAAGTCTGGTATTGTCCATCCCTAGATGCATCAGCCATGCAAGTTTGGTCTGGGTATGGCTTATAGTTACTTAGGAGTGGACCTTCTCCAAAAACTTAAACAAAAACTTAAACCTGGTCACTCATCTGGAAAATGTAGGTCAGATCCAGCATCCGAAGCAAGTCTGGTATTGTCCATCCCTAGATGCATCATCCATGCAAGTTTGGTCTGGGTATGGCTTATAGTTACTTAGGAATGGACTTGCTCCAAAAACTTTAACCTGATCACTCATCTGGAAAATGTAGGTCAGATCTAGCATCTGAAGCAAGTCTGAGAGTGTCCGGGGGTATAGCATTATACATTTAATCACTCTTTATGAGGTCAACATGGTGAAATGATGACCCGAGACCTGACCCATGAGGTGAAATGACCTGACCGAGGCCAACGGCTGAGGTCAGGTCAGGTCATCAAGTGGGTCAGGTCAAGGGGCATCATTTCACCATGCTGACCTCATAAAGGGTGATCAATTGTTTTATTATACCGACAATAATAATAATGAAAAATTGAACACATGTAACATTTTATTTCAACAGAGTATTGCATATTCTGAAATATCAATTTTAGCAACAATAACTTCAAATTTGAATGTTCAGTTGAAAAGTGAAAAACACATCTTACAACCATTAACGATTTACAAAAGTCCAATAAAGAACTTTACATTATCTTTACTTTTGTTGTTCCTTTCCTACATAATAGTGAATATGCACTTGTTCGACGTTTCTAAATACTGGTCCACAAGAGTTTTGAGGCATTTTGTTAACTTTAACATTCTCTTTTTCTTCTGGAACACACAAATCTGAACTATTTTCATCAACCAGGACTTCAGAAAGCAATTTTTCGGTACTGACAGTCTCAAATTCACAGTTATTTAAATCCAAGAGCTGAGTTTCTGAAGTATGGGTACTAGAATGTGTTGGAACTACTGGGTTTTCTAGCCCTAGCTTTTTGATGGGTAAACCACAGATGATAAAACATCAAACATTTCTTGCTTTTTGGATTCACTAACACACATCTTGAATAGCTTTTTATCGAAGTTTCCGACTTATGTCCACTTACAGACATGATATGTCTAGCTTCTATCCCACGCTGATCCAAACTAGTAATACAAGTGGCACGTATACAGTGGTTTGTATACAGAGTTGAGAGTTCAGCTTTCATAGATATTGTTTTCATAAAATTTCCCAGTGTTATGACCTACTGGAGAATTATCATACCAAACAGCATCCGAATCCTTGATATGGCGCTTCGATCTCTGCCAAAAACTTTCACAATTTGGATTCAGCTTTCCGAGGTATTTCTCCAGGCTAGACACAGGGCACTTCTCATCACCTACATGAACATATATGAAAAATTGTAAATCAGTTGAATTCATGAAAATTATGATCTAAAATTAGTTAATACTGAAGTTTACATAAATTTTATTTTACATGATTGTATTTCTGGAAGTATTAGTACCTGGTATTTTATATATTCTTGCTGAAGATGCATCATAGTCATTAACATCACTACCTCTGTGATTTTTGGTTTCATACTGGGCAACATTCAGATAATATCTCCTGCCTTGGCCATCTGTCCTCAAAACAAAATCAGTTTTCTTCATACTTCTCAAATTTCCCCTTCCTCTCCTACATGTGTAGAACATCACATCAATAAAAACTTTATACTGCAACCCCTGCGGACTGTTTCCGGTTAGGACGCCGCTACTATACAATGTTGCCATGTCAGCATCGCTGATAACTTCCTTGTGCTGAGTGGTTCCCTTTCCAGTTCGTTTGATGTTTGTCAAAACTGCCTTGAACATTTCGTTTGATAGACGAAAATCTGGATCATTAATAATGTCATACTTAATTTTTTGGAAAAATCTCTGCAAACCAAACCTGATGCTGATCATGGAGGATCTACTATACAATTCACCATCTTTTCGTCTGAGTTCAGCGTAAAAGTTGATCAGAATTTCAGCAATTTCACCTTTTGTTTTTTGCAGTATGTTGTCCACTATCAGTCCCTTTTCAGTGCAGTATGTAATGAAAACCCGTTTCGCTGAATCTATACATTGTTTTGTGTTAGAACTATCGCGGCTTTCTAGGATCGCTTGTAGTTCCTCACTTGTCAAAGTTGCAAATCTCGATTCGCCAGCCATCGTTTTCGTAAACAGACGACAAATCACACATGGGAAATGACGTAGTACACAATTTTATAGTCTATATCTTATTTCTAATGAATAACGTACAGTTAATAAGTTATAGTCTTTATCTAAAAACAGTACAGTAAACATGGTAAACGTGAAGAAATAACGAAGCGGTAATATGTTCCGCCATTTTTAAGCAGTTAGCTTCGCTAGCCGCTATATGGCATGTGTCGGCAACCGGAAACCTCCATAAGGCGCTACCTATCGGCATCGCTTTATCGCTCGTAACCTTATCCTTCTGCAACCAAAACCGGAAACTTCCACAAAAACCTAACTATCGACAACGGTAACTTCAGCAAATGATTTGTATACTGTTGGCGTAATACGCCCCCTGGTTAGAGATTGACAATATGCTGTGAAGTCTGACTAAAGCCAGCCCCTACTATATCACTTCGTACTAACGAAGTTTATGCTGTGTATGAAGAGTGGCTATTATAACGATTATATCGAATTCTTATTAGTATATTTACCAAAGCATTGACAATACTTACACCACTTACTTTTAAGAACTGAGAATTTGGTCCTTATTACATGTGTATTGCGCGATCGCGATTTCTGGCAACTGTTAGTTTATTTTTGAAAGTTTATTATACAGCAGGTTGGAGGTTATTACAGACTGCAAAAACATCAGCAAATCTCTCGATCGAGTTTGATTTTCCTTGCCAAAGTATTAAGAAACACCATTTATTAAGTTAATACCTGAAAAGCGCTTTTATAAAAACACCGAACGCATCTGTAAGTTTTACACTTTTTGTAACGTTTTATGGAAACAATAGGGTTACCTCCACTATGAAACGTTTGTTTTTCTTCTCTTTTCTTCTCTGTCTAATAAACAGATTATAAAAGCTCTGCTCCCAGGGATAAATTCTCTACTCCGTCTTTGATAATTTATAACAATCGATCATAAGGGATTACTTACTATTAGTTTTGTAAAAAATAATGGAGCACTTAAAGTAGTAAAATCAATTTTGAAAAAAAAATGGAGAAATATATATTAATTTTAATCAGCATTGTGATCCTCTTCTAAAAATCAACCGATATTATTTTCACAGAAGAATGAGGTATGAAAAATGTTGGCAATTAGCAAAAATTTAAAATATATACTTAATGCTTATTTATAAGTTTTGAAAATTTGATCAATTCCTAGGGAACGTATTATTAGCTGTGAAAATACTTTTAAAATTTGAATTTGTCCAATTTGTCAATAATTGTTTGAAACGTTTGAGAAGAATAAAATTAAAATACAGGTGTTTAGAGGCACATTGATAGAAAAGAAATCAGTGTATACTATTAAACCGACATATTGAAGAAAGTGACACTGATAACTTCTTAAGTTACACTGATTTTTAATGTACATTTGAATTTTTAAATACTAGTATTGATTGATTACACAACTTTCCTTTTCATGTTTTATTTGAGAACAATATTGCATGAAGAGTATATGATAAAAACACCTTATATGTCCTTATCTAGATATTGTGCCTGATATTGTGCAAGACTTCTTTCAAATGATTCTCATATACCATTTACTTTATTCGAACATTTACTTGTTTGAAAAGTCAATAAAATATATTTCATAAAGCTTGATAATCTTGTTTACTCGCCAGTCTTCCCGTAGAAGTAGTAGTTTATAATATTACTAAAGGAAGTATTCAGTATCTGTATCAAAATACAGAATGATCAATGATCGATTTTAGAAGAAAAGCTGACTCCTGAAAGTTCAAGAGATGGGATCCGTTGCCTAGAAAAAGTAAGCATCCCTCGTTGACAGGTTAATTATATTGCCGCGATGAGCCTACACAACTGAATCTCTCTGATATCAATTCATTTACAAAGTCTCTCCTCAGCCATCCTTTTTTCTCTGACTAGCCAGCTGTAGATCTACACTACTCCAAATCCATTAATCTAAAGAATTTAACTTGTCATTTTTTTAGTTGTTTGTTATAGTAGGCTTTACAATTACCTAATTTCAGATTGAATAGAGAATAAAAGACAATGAAATTTTCAACATTTTTTTTATCCAGAGAACAATTGGATGCCATCAAGAGAGAATTTTTAAAAATGCACTTCCTGTCTTTCAAACTGAAGAAATCTCATGTTTAAATTTTGAAACATGCATTTCAATCTTATTAAAATTTATTTAAATGTTCCAAATCCGCTACCGCTTCTGAAACATCTAACATCCCATTCGGGGTCACATCAGAGCGACCTTTCAATTATGAATACATGTACAAGTAAACACAAACACTTTGGCCATGTAGATTCAAGCCTCGGTAAACAGTTCTCAAATTAATTCCACGGCTACATATCATCATTATTGATACTGTCTTACGTTGAATTAAAGTAATTTTGGAATAAATTTCATGTATCTTCTGCAGTCTGGCATCTAAACGTGAATAATGCAAACGAAAGAGCACAAACTATACAAGATACCCCACACGTCATACATAACACAACTTTTGCAATGCAAATCTTTTTACTACAAAACTCCTCGGGTGTTTTGGTTGGGTGGTGAAAACAAGAAACCCATCTGAACTATTAGCCAGGATTTTGGAGGAACCATTTTCTTTGCCTAATTGAAGATTCACTCTTACATGACCCCAAATAGGATGTTGTTAGATGTTTGAGAAGCATTAGCGGATTCGGAACATCTAACTTTAATTCGATTGCATCCATCTGTGACATCAGTTTGGAATGTTATTGGTTTTACTATTGAGTAAAGTATTACAAAAACAGAATGTCTGGGTTTTTCTTTTTGATGACATTGGACAAAGATATGCATACTTAAATATCATCATTTTATGCACTTTTTCGGTACATATTAGATGAAAGCATGCTAACCGCTTTTCAGTACTTTCAGTACTTTGATTATTTTATGCGCAGGTCAGGTTCAGCGGTCAATAATATTAATGACCGGTCAATACCTCATACTCCTGCAACAATCAAGTCATAAATAGTCATGTGACACAAGAATGGGTCATAAGCTTATTTTAATGTTTTCTCATTAACCAATCAGATTCTTTCATTCTAATTGGAGGTATAATAAAAGCTTATCTCGACTTCATCGAGGTGAGCTAAAAACTATTCAGGAAATAGTTCCCTGCCTTGGGAAACCATAAATTTGCTAGTCCCCTCATACCCATTACATAACTGTATACTATTGTCAATGCTTAGATTTTTTTATGCATTATCTGCAGCTGGATGTTCACTTACCCAGAGAACCTGTTGACTGAGTCCATTATTCTTTTCTTCATCTCTTTGAACTTTGGGTTGTCGACATTTGGACAGGGTGGAAGGTGGTCCGCTGGAAGATCATGGTGAAACTTTGTCATCACATCCTCTAGCTTACTGATAAACAGCGACTTCACCCGGGGCCAGGGAAACCTACAATATACACCTCATACTGATAAACAGAGGAACCTACAATATACACCTCATACTGATAATAAAGATTTCACCCTTCAAATTGTTTTCGGAGTCGTAAGTCAACCATGGGCTGCTTGCCTGCCATTTCTAACACGTTTTTGTTCAAAACTTTTGACCCTTCGCATGCTGGTCATTTGATGGCAGATTTAGCTGAACTGAATTTCAGAAACTGGATCATGACTGCAGTCCACTGCACGTGGCATCAATGGACATATGTACATGGTAATTTAGCAAGAAAATTTGAGAAAACAAATAGGTTAAATTAAATACTTCAATGATTTCCATTGACAATCATTTCATTTGAGAGGTTGTATCTAAGAATGTAACATTAGACTGTAGAATCTGAATGTAGACTGGCAATCCATTTTAAGACATTACATAGCAAGTTTTGAGAATAACTGGGGTATGACAGAGGAAATGGCAAGTAAACATCGTACATCGAAGGAAAATTCATACATGCCCCCCTTTGGGCATGTAATTTGAGAATTTACATGCCCGCTGGCAATTTTACCAGACCTCGGGCATAGGGCTCCCAAGTTATTTCGAAGACTGGGGTCCTGGGTTTAATTCCCAGTCCAGTCAAACTTTTTTTCCCTTCCTGTTACAACTGCATCATGGAACGCTATGTAATTTGTTGATATTTTCAATCAAGCTCTATTTCTTTTACGAAGGTGGGGTGAGGGGGAGGGGTCATTTGTTTGAATAAAGTCCTCGTGGTCAAACTGAAAGTACTGCAAATGGATTGTCATCCAAATTTCTGACACACTAACATTCTGTGACTCTGTCGAATGTTTACAATATTACCAAAACAGCTGATAAGTTACAGTCACGCATGAGTAAGCACACATGCTATTTACATTCCTTTGTCAATACCAATTGTTTTGACTGCAATATTAAACCATCTCTGGTCATAAACAGTGTTTTGTTATTCACTTTTATTATTGATTATTAAGAGTTAAAGTCGAACTTACAGTGTTTCGCCGGTTTTTGCTATAGTTTTCAAATATTGCTCTAAAACAGGAGGAATGTCGCCTTTCTTCTTCTCAAAGTCTGAAAAACGAATAAAAGTTGTTTTGATAAGGATTAATTCAAAATATACAGATTCTCCGACAATAAAATACCAAAATTACTCACTGTTTAATGCGTCTAGAACTTCTTCTTGATTGTCCATGGCTAATTTCGAGTACACAACCATGGAGGTCAAACAATGGCGCTGGGGGAAATGACGTCAGGGATATTCCATTCAAAACAGAAGAGGGGTTGTTAAAACGACCCTGTTAAAATGTTTTAGAAGGATATAAAAAAAACATAGTCTTTTTCATGTTTATAAAGCATAATGATAAAACAAAAATGTATTAGTATCCTTCAATCTCAGTCTTAGTTTTAATAGGCCTACTATAATCCGAAATTCATTTTACTCCACGGCTGAAAATAAACTTATCACCCCCTGGAATTAGACAAAAGATAATCTTAGAAAATCCCATTGAAATCTCGTAGGCACCTTCAATTCCGGAAAAATGTAAATATGGCGCGGTAGCAAGTGAAAGTTCAAGTCCGCTAAACAGTTCTTGTGAGTCGAGAAGAACAAGTCCTTTATTTCAAGGTAAAATTTATTGCGTGAGAAAACAGACAGAGAGCGAAATCAATTTCATCTTGTAGGTGAAGTAAATATTTCTTGGCCACACGTTGTCACCTTGCCAAAAGTTTGTTGACATTCTGAAAGTTTCCCCACCTGCACTTCCCACTGTCACATGAGATCTTTGCTTAAAAGTGTGTCCAACGTATATATTAACATTGTCCAGGAATATACTCTAAGAATTGATTTGGGTACCCCATTGTTTGCACTCACCTGAGACACCTGTCTAACCAGGTGTGAAGTCAATGCATCACAGAATCCCTGAGAGTGAGTGGATGGGAATCATGAGGTTGACAGTAGAGCTAAAAAAAATGCTAAAATAAATTAAAAAACCAATGTATATGAACTAAGATCGCAGCAGGCACTTTATATTATGTTTCTGGGATCATCCCACAAGGAACAGGGACCTTAACAGGTCCAGTACAATCACTACATTTAGCTACGTAGGTAGAATTACCTACGTAGCTTTATTTACCTACCTCAGGTAGCTTTATTTAGCTATTTCAAGGTAAGTTTTCAAAAATTTTCTTTTTATTAAAAAGAGACAAAAAGTCGCAAATAAATGACTATTAATATTTATACTAGGGAGGCTTAAAAAACCAATCCAAAGCAGAGATAGTTTATACATTGCTGCGTTTGGACAATTTAGAGCAAAACGTGTAATTCCATTGTTTGGTTAGCTGTCCGTGTGGTGAGGCATGACTGAGTATGATTACTTCACATTGTACTGAATAATTACCGACCTATTATCGTGTTAACCGGAACTGGACTTCTTTGTCATTTCATCCAAGTGGTAACTGTTCTAACTGTCATACATAGCCCCAAAACTTTCAGAACTTTGATTGCAATTGCGCAGAAAAAGACATTTTTCCAAGAGGGATTTTTTCATGAGTTGTTTTCAGATGAGTTCAAAGTTGAAAATGATCACTGCATCAAAATGATATTTTCTGCAAACCCTGAGAAAAATGCTTTTAAATAGAAATAAACCCATTTGGTAGCTAAATAAAGCTACCTCAGGTAGGTACATAAAACTATGTAGGTATATCAAGCTATGTAGCTAAATCTAGTGATTGTACCAGACCTGCTTTAGAGAAGTGGACAGGCTTTTGCCAACATTGACTTTTCTTTACAGACCTTAATCATGTTTTGAGTCTGGAAAACATGTTAAATTTAGAACCGGTGAAGGCCTACACTTTAACTTAAATTTTATCTGAAATAATTGCCTGATTTTTCTTAACAGACGTCAGGGTTCAACATTAACGTTAATCCGTTAGTCTCAGACTAATACATTTTCCTTCGGACTAATAAAAATTGTAGCTAATTAGTCCGAACGGACTAATAAAGTTTTCTAGGGGGAAAAAAGAATTTACCGATGTTCAAATTTTCCACAATTTTCACTGGAAAACCCCGTATTTATTTTTAGCTTTCAAGCTTCATGGTGGAAAGTAAGGTAATTCTGAGTCAAATCCGCGCTTAATTTTAGGACTCATTGGTATGAAATTAAACATTTTTGTTATCATGATTTAGTATTACACATAAAGAAAGATGTCGGATGTTTAGATGATGTAATCATGAATAGAGAAAAACGAATGAGATCGGGAATACGATGTTAGTTCCTGATTGTGCGATTTCAATGAACTCTTGGTATAAACATTTCATGTAAATGCTTTGTTTATTTAAAAAAAGCAGGGGTTTAAAAATACGGTGGTCCGAGGTCCGGGACCTAATGTTTATGGGGGCGGACTAGCTAATTGTTACCCTTTGATAGTCCGTCGGACTAGTAGTTTTGAGAGAAAAAAAAATTAATCCCGTGATTTTTGGGCCGATTTCGGGCCGAAATTCGGCCCCAGTTCCAATGGAAAATATGCCTGTATTTTCCCATATTGTAGTGGAAGTCATCCCAAAGAAAAACTTACGAAATATGTGATCAAATTCGGTTTGTTTATTGCATTTATTGCATGTTTTAAAGTAGAGTTCAAGAAGGTTTTATGGTTGTTCAGCCATGTTGGATTTTTCTTCATTAGTTAATTCATACCACTATTGTTCTTGATGCAAGTAATTAAATAATTCATACCAAGAATAGTCTTGATTTGTGATAACAATTGTTTGTTTTAAAGTAATACAAAGATAAAAACAAAGCATTTTGACAATGTTGTTTTAATGACTGGGTTTTCTGGGAGATTCCCCAATTAATTTAGCCAAATTGAAGCTGAAATTCCAAATTCTAATGGCCCAAGCCCCCAGTCCCAAAGAACTAACAAAAAACACCACTGTAATCAAATTGATTAAAACTAAGCATGTTTTTTTTTTAAACTTTGGACTAGTAATTTTATGATACGGACTAGTGAAATTTACTAGCTCAATAGTCCTTGGACCAGTGAATTTTTAGGGAAAATTTAAACCCCTGAAAAAGTATAAAAAGTACATTGCAACATTAATTTTATATATTTATTTTTATTTTTGATGGACTCATAAAATTGACCACAGACTAGTAAAAGTAAAGAACTAGTCCAGCCTGACCAAAGCCTCAAAATGTTAGTGTCGAACCCTGGACGTGCTTTATTAACAATTTGAACATAAATAAACTCAACTGCCATCCAATCTTTACATTTGCAAGTTCTCATTCCAGGATTCAAACTTAAAATGTTTTTCTACCACAATATTGGCAATCCTCAGTTGACTCCTCTAGTCTCCAATCAGTGTGTGTGGGGGGGGGGGGGACACAAGTAACCCAAGGAACTCCAAATTTAAATGCTGACAAATTGAATGTATTAAATATTTCTTTCATCTAGCTTGGTACCTGAGGTTTTGCACTTAGGAAGGCCTCGGGTACCAGGTTATCCTTCCATCCCAATGAGAGTTTTGTCCCTTGTCAGAGATTCAGTGAGCCTTAACTTATAAGGACAGATTTTGTGGGGAGACTGCATTCTAAAATACAATAATGTAGGAAATCTATCCCAAAAAACAAGTCTCAGATTATGGATAATACATAAAAACTCATTTTTGGAACAAAGGGAGTTTATTTCAAGCAAAAATATGTATGTTAATTTACATTTTTAAATTCCTCCACATGTAGAAAATGATACCTTCCTTCACCTTCACCTATCCCTTGACTTCCATGGAAGTTGTTAGGGCACCTTCCAAGACCTATCAACCACTGTCATCCATAAGTCTCTGTTTTTTTGTTTGATTAAATCATATATTGTGTTCTGAAGTTGTAACTTACTAGAAGGCCATTGTGAATTTGTTACTTAACATCAAATATTGATGCTATTTCTCCCTGTATAGTGGCTAGGTTATAGCTTTCCGTTCAAGAACATAGCAACTAGCTTTGCATAGCAGCTATTTAGCTGCTGTTGAACCCACCCTAGGTTTGCATTTGATGTCATCAGGGCTCTCGATTCTCTAAAATTGGGGCCGTTCAACGGCCCCGTTCCCAATGCAAAAAAGGTACCTTTTTTCCCAAAAGAAAGGTGTAAATTTCCCAATTTCCATCCAGAGTAAAATATTGATTAAAAAATAAAAGTCCATCAAACCTAATCGCAAAAAAAAAAACCCAAACAAAACACATTTTGCAAATGAAAGTGAAACTATACTACTATTTTATTAGTTCGCGCCAAATACATTCGTAAACTGGTTCGGGGAACCAGGTTATTGTTTTTACAAAAATGTATACAACTATGAGTGCAGAGTATCTTGTTATGTAGTTTCGACAAAAACCAGCATTTTGGTTTCAAAAATAGACATTTCATTTAAACATTAGTAAGCTGCACCTTGAAACATACCCGCACTTCGGCATGTTCAGTCTCGCGCTGTATTGGTAAGCAAAGTTACCCATGTGATCGAGGAAATTCGGGACTATGTGACTAGCGACTTTCACGCAGTAAGACATATAACCGCAATATCAACACTCAAAGATAGTAATGACAAAGCTAATGTACTTTCATAAATAGCCTACGTACCCATGTTTGTTCTGTTTAACTGTTTATTCAAACCAGAGTTAGCATTGATGCTAAAATGCTAGAAAAGCAAAATTTGAGGATTTTTTTTTAATGAATTTATGTTATCCAACTTTTCCCAAAATGACGATAATTTTCCCAATTTGAACGGCCCCGGCCCCAGTCCCAAAAAGTGGTATGAGAGCCCTGGATGTAAAAAGCTTGACGTCAAGTTCATCTTTACGTCAATTACCTTGGCAATTCCAAAAGAAAAAGCATTAAAACATTTGTGACCAGATGTTGAGAAATGCAATACATGATCAATTTTTTTCTTTTGTTAGCTAGGTTACTATTAATAATAGTGTTTTGTATAAATTCTGCTTGGTATTCACAAAATGAAAATCATTAAAATCAGATATATTTTTTCAGGGAAAATCAATTGTGTTATAATAATTTTGAAAATTAATTGCTGCTTATTTATGACTAAATTTAAAGTAACATACCATTAAAAACTTTTAGAAAATGAGCCATATGACTTTTTAAAATTCTTTAAGCATGTTATGACAATAAACATTCTGAGTCTAAAATTAGACACAAGGTCAGAGGTCAGTCCCACTAATTGAATGTTAATGTCATCACTGAAGGTAGAGATAACAGAATGTAAACAAGATAGGCTGGCTGCTAACAGTGGTGTCCTGTGATCGCTGCAGCCTATTGTTACCTGTACACAGGTGATTTATTTACACCTGGCCGGCCAGGTGAAGGTCTGTGTTTGGACGGAGGAAGCTCTCGTCTTCATTAACAGCTTCTGTTTTATATGGAGCCTGGGGATGTGTTTTACACAGGGACATCTCATTCTTAG